AATTATTTATATTAATAATATTATATTGAATTAAAATTAAAATAATAATACAAATTATAACAATGTAAAAAATATTAAAAATTATAATATAATAAAAATATACAAATAATATATTATATATTATATATTTTTATATTAATTTAATTTTAATTATTTTTATATTATTTTTTATTGTTTCATTTTAATTATTATGATTTAAATTAATTATTAAAAAATATTAATTACATAATTTTTATTATAATATTTTTTTATATATTATTTTTATATATATAAAAAATATATATATATATATATATTTTATATATGCAAAAAATTAAAAAAAAAATATAATAAAAAATTTTTATATAAAATATAATTTTTTGTATATATTCTTTTTAATAAATAAACAAAATATTTAATAATAAATGCAAAAAATTATAAAAAAAAATGTTATATAAAAATAAAAAAAATTTCATTATTTTTATATAAATTTTTTTTATAATTTTTTGTATATATATTTTTTAAACTATTTTTATTTACTTTTTTATATATATTATTATAATTTTTTTATATACCGTCGAACCTCCAAATAATGAATATTTGCCTATAAAGATTTTGTATACAATATAAGTGGACATTTTCAATAAAATAATTTCAATAAAGATTTTTTTCTATAGAGAGTTTCGACTGTATTGAATTTCATTATATTTTTATATAAATACAATTTATTAATTATTATTATCTTAAATACTTTTTTTTATTTTTATTATTATTTATATGATTTCTGTAATTATTTTAAATAAATGTTTTTTATATTATTTGAATTATTGTATTATATTTTTATTTATATAAATCCCATTTCTTTTATAAATATATATATTTTTTTGTTTACACGTTTACAACATTCAAGTTGATTAAATAAGAAGGGCTTGCTTCAATTTTACTAGTAGTTTTTGTCATTGGTTTTTATGTTTGTATTTATAATTTATTTTTAAGACATATTTTTTATATAAAATAAATAAATGTACAGTTTTTGGGGTTATTTGTTGATATAAGCATTTTTGTAGTAGTATTTTTATATATATGGCAACAAACATTTAAACGCTTGATATTTTTTGTGCGATTTGTTATTATTTTTTGTCTCGGCAGAATTATGGGGGCGTAGTGTAAGGAGCGTAAGAAGAGGATAAATTTGGATATTTTTTTTACAAAAAATTTTAACTAAAAAAATATTGCAAACATGTCTACTACATAGAAAATCATAAAAAGTTCCGGTATCAAGAAAAAAAATCAATATGGCGCACAGTCAATGACTCGTTTAAATTGAAGACTTCTCCTCCATCGAAAAAAAAAAACAGTCAGAAAACCCATATCAATATATAAAAAAGGCTTATATATGAAATTCCTTGGTATAAAACACTTATGAGACCTCTAGCAAAAAAGCCTTCTATCAATTGAAACATCTGGAGAAAAAAAATATTTCCATCTTTCAAAATAATATTTTGCCACAGCAGGCTTGAACAAAAACTATTTTTTTTTAAATAGAGCAACTGAAAGTATTCGAAACATATTTTTAGCTTTTGCTGAAAATTTTGGGAATATCAATACTCTTCTTGGGAGATTCCTCAAAAGCATAGTGGAGATGGGCTGCCATCTATGGTTGGCTAGAAACAACATTTGCTTGAATTTTGAACATTGATTGGTGTCCTTGCATTTTAATTTATTTTTTTCTCTGGGAGGCGCGCGCTATTTTCTTTTAACTTCATGTGTTGATGTTGGCAATTTCTGTTGCATTTTATCTGGAGATAGATAAGCCTCATTCATTTTTGAGAATATCCATAGAATAATTTTTAATTTTATATTTGTTTCTCCCGTTACTCTTCTTGGGGGATTCCACAAAGGCATTGTCGTCATATGACCTAGGTTATGGCGCTACCATCTATCGCTGACTAGAAACAACGTTTCCTTGAATTTTATGCATTGGTTTGTGTACTTGCTTTCTATTTTTTTGTAATTTTCCTCCGTGTGGCGCTATGCTACCTTTACTATCTTTTGGATGTCAATAGGCTTCTGATGCATTTTATCTGGAGGTACATATGCCTCATTTAATTATGGAAATATAATTAGAATTGTGTTTCATTTTATTTTTTGTTTCTCCTGTTACTCTTCTTGGGAGATTCCACAAAAGTATCGTCACATGTCCAATGTGATAGTGCTGCCATCTATAGTTGCCTAGAAACAACGCCTCCCTGTATTTTTTACACTGGTTGGGGTCCTTGCTTATTTAATTTTGTCATTATTCTCTGGGTGGCGCCGTGTCTTTCCGGATGTTTGTGTTATCCACGCCTTTCCTATTTTGTGTTATCCTCATGTGTTGTTTATTAGAAAATCAGGATGCATTTAATCGTAAACCTAATTTTACAAGTATTCAAAAGTTACCTTGAACTAATTACCATTTTTAATTTGTGTTATCCTCATGTGGTGATTATTAGAATGGCAGTAGACTTCTGATGCTTTTTATCTAGAGGTTTATAAGCCTCATTTAATTTTGTTACTCTTCTTGGGAGATTCCTCAAAGGCATTGTCGTTATATGTCCTAGGTTATGGCGCTGCCATCTATCGTTGGCTAGAAACAACGCCTCCCTGAATTTTTGTACCCAAGTTGGGATCCTTGCTTATTTAATTTTGCAATTTTTCTCTGGGTGGCGCCACGTCTTTCCGGAAGTTTGTGTTATCCACGCATTTGCTATTTTGTATTATCCTCATGTGTTAATTATTAGAATGTCAGGATGCTTCGAATGCATTTAATCGTAAGCCTGATTTTACAAATATTCAAAAATCACCTTGAACTTATTACCATTTTTATTTTGTGCTATCCTCATGTGTTGATAATGTTGATTATTAGAATGTCAGTAGACTTCTTATGCATTTTATCTAGAGGTAGATAAGCCCCATAAGGTTAAAAACTGCCCTTCTAAAAACTATTCTAATATAACTTCTCGAATACTTCTTAAAATATTCCTCAAGAAATTTTTTCTATTTATTGACAACCTCAGGAAGGGCTTCAATCTATAGAAGTCCCCAGAAGTATTTCATGTTGAGTCTACTGGACGTTTTGCACGTTGATACCATCAGCTTGGTCTTTTCGACATTTACTGCCAGACCCACTTTCGCAGACTCCTTCTCAATTTGTTCAAATGTGTTACCGCTTGCAATGTTGGACCCATTATGTCGATGTAGGCGAGTACCATGTATTGTTTGGTGTACAGAGTGCCATTTCCGTTCATTTTTATGACCATTTCTGTTCATTGTATGACCTTCTGAAGCAGGATATTAAAAAAATCACACGATAAACTGTCACCTTGTCTGAATCCTCGTTTGGTATTAAAGGGATCCGAGAGGTCCTTTCCGACTTTAACTGCTGACTGTGTGTCAGTTAAAGTTATCTTGCATAGCCGTAATAATTTTGCAGAAATGCCGAATGCATGGCTTTAAACACCTCTGATGGGATAGGGCTGTTGACTGCGGTTTGGTGGTCGACGAATAGGTGGTATGTGCCTATGTGTTTTTCGTGCTTGTTTTCCAAGATTTGGCGCAGAGTGATGGATTTGCCAAGCCTGAAGCCGCATTGGTATTGGTAATGTCATTGACCATAGGCTTTAGTCATTCACACAGTACGCTGGATAGCACTTTATATACGATGGTAAGGAGATTTATTCCTCTATAGTTGGCAAATATCGTCTTGTCTCCTTTTTTTGTGTACGCGACACAAGATGTTGAGGTTCCAATCATAGGGCATTGGACTTGTCGCTTTTATATATCGGCTAGCATCGCTATAATATTCTTATATCATTGGACCTTACTTTCACTATCTTGTTTCAAAATCTATGGCATCAACAATATATTTAAGGACTGCTTTAAATTCTTGAATATCTTCAGTTGAGATACCTCGATAAGTACCCAACGTCATATGCCAAATCTTATCTTATTTTTTCTTCTGCTCGTGAAACACATTTGATTGCGGAGTTGTGGTTGCGGTCATCTCTACACTCTAAGAAATTAATTCTCTACAAACAAAATTTTTGCATAGACCTTCTGAGATATTTTGATCTGATTATCGATATTTTCAAAATTTTAATTTGTAGTTTAAAGGTTCTGCAAAAGCACTACACCCTGAGAAATTAAACCTTTCCAGAATCTTCTTTCCAAATGGTCTATTGATTTGATCATCGCTGGTTTCTATTTCAATACCAAAAATTATGAAGATTCATTGTAAACATTTTTTTAACTTGGAAAGCGCGATGGTCGGGATCCTTCCTATTTAATCAATAATTAATCTAGTCTAGAGACAAAACAAAATGTTTACCCAATGAAGAACAACAAATTTACCTCTTGTAGAAGTCATATTCATATTAGGTCAAATGCAGGGATCACCGCTTATTGCAACTAGGATAATTTGTACAATGTGTCATCGGAGGTTTATAAAAAAAACTATTCAAATTGCAGAACTTTTCAAAAAAAGGAGTTAAAAAAATCGAAGAGCAATAAAAAAATAATGTTCTTAAATGAAGGCTTCTCCATATCGGATTAAGATTTGCTGCTTCAATCACAAATATAATCAAACTCCAAATGAGCATATTAAAATCTCCAAAACTTCTTACAATCCTTACACTTCTTCCATGGGAGGAAATCTTATTTTCATGGGAAATCTTATCTTCATTCTCTTCTTTTTTAAGAGTTTGTTATATCAAATCAAGCTATTCTGCTATAAGGGATAATATGCTTTAACATTAAGCTCAGGTTAGACACGCTCTGTAACATTTTTTTGGTTTGTAGTTTTTTTTTTGGTATTTTCTCAAAATCTGTTTGTTTTGTTTTAGCTGAAGGACTTAACATTTTGGTTTTATATTACTAAAATATGCCTCTATATATCTGTGTGTAATTTCCTATATACGCAGAACAATCATTCTTTGTTCCATTCAATAGAAGCTACGCAATAATTTTGTTATAAATCAAAACCGTTAGCTTGTACCAGCCCCGCTAACATTTTGAGCCACTGCTGCTGCTGCTGCCGTTGTTTGTTCGGTTTGTTTTTGGGCAGCTGGTTTAGGCGGCGTTACCGGACTCTTTAGGTGGTGAACTGGACGTATTGATTTCAATTGTGTTGTACCATTAAATCGTACATTTACCTCACCAACCATACTCAACGGATGCATTGCTTCGGTTTTATTTACCTCCGGTAACTGAGCTTCTTCAGCTGGTGGCACAGCTGCAGCTTTGGCGGGTGATGTATTACCCGATTCCATGGTGGGAGTGGCCACACCGAATAGTTGTCGACTAGCGTTTGGTGAAAATACCGCCGGAGTATTCTTGTAGCCCATACGACTGAAAATACTGCCCGTACTTAAGGAACTACTTTGACTACTGTTGCTGCTGGTACTGGGTGGACTGAGTGGAGTGCCAACACCACTATCCACTTCGAGTGGACTTTTAATTTGGGCCATATAACGATCAACATGTTCGGGTAATTTTAATTCATCCAAACGGGATTGCATCTCTTGCAGATTGGGTCCCTTATCGCTGTACAAACGATTGGGTCTTTGTTGTTGCTGCACCGACTGCTGTCTCTGTGGTTGGGTCAATTCTGGAGATTGTGGTTGTTGCTGCATAGCAGGTGCTGAGATCTGTCGTGTTGGGGATATGGTGGAATCTGTTGGTGTTGCACTGCCACCCAATGCTGCACCACGTTTCTGTTGCCTCAACTGTTCGTAGGTGTTCTCAAAATAGGGTGTCTTCTTGGTTTTTTGGGGCGAACCATGTTCTTCTTTTTCGTTCAACTCTTCGAGGACTTTGAGTGGAAACCCCAAGTGACTGTTGACCGAGACAGACTTACCAATTTTACGTTCGGTGAATAGAGGACGTCGTCTTTGTTTTTCCAAGTCGTCGAGTTGTTGTAGAACTCTTCGCACCTCCTGTGGTATTTCCAAATCGATATTACGTTCGGCTAAATGACTAACATAACGACCCAATGTCTGAATTGTCAATTCCAATGATTGAACCTGTGATTGTAGATTGGTTATTTGTGATTGCTGTGAGGAGCGTGTCTTCTCCAATTGCACGATTGATGATTGGGCAAACTGTGAATAGTACGGAAGGAAATTTCATTAGTATAGATGGATTTCAGTTGTTGATGATGGGTAGTACTTTACCTGTAATTGTTGTTCCAAATGTTGATTCCTAGACTTCTCTTGATTTAATATTTCCAAATGATGATTTGTTGAGGTGATTTCCTCCTGCAGCACATTATATTCTACATTGTATTCCATCAGCTGTTTATTGATGTCCAATGTGAAGACCTGTAAAAAAGGGCAAGGAGAAAGTAGTTAGAGTTCATAAATTCAAGGTTGAAAATATATAAATAAGGTATATCGATATCGAAATTATTCCTTCGGATTGGGGACCAACTAATGTTAGAACGGGCCTCTAGGCCACTAGGAAACTCCTAGTCGACTGAATTCTCACTGAATTGCTCACAACAACCACCATGACTTCAGTTGGAACTTTTCCGGAAGAAACCGAATTCTTATCAAAACCATTTCCTATGAAGAGGATGAGATCAACAGAGAAACAGCAGTAGTGTCTAAGAGAAGTGTGAAGGCTACCATTGGACAGACGATAGTCGGCGAAAATGCGGATGATCGTAAAAGAACAAATATTAGCCATCTGATACCGACGGGCGATTATTCGAGTCATTCGAGGTTAACCATCAATGGCTGTAGTTTGGACCAAGGTAATAAACTGGGGGAAGTTGGAGACTGCTGATATCCTCAGTAAAGATAATTCGCTGATGGCTTTATCTGTTGATGAGTTCCCAAGCAGGATGAAAGCCTGTAACCATTTCTTCTTTTGATACTGGAACAAATGCAGAGACTTCTAATATATATAAGAGCTGGATGTTTTCTCATGGGTAGCTGGCGGTAACTGGCTTCCGAAGATCTTTGATAGATATATCCCCTTTTTACAGTTTATTTAATAGACGGAAGAACTGACTTCTGAATTGTCTTCTGAAGACAGTATATCTTCGAGAGGTCTTCTAAGAACATTTAGAGGTATTTAAGCAAGATGACCTTCAAAGGACGTCTACACATAGAATACTATCAAGAGATCTTCTATAAACAGAAAATATTGTGGAAGTATTTTATATACAGAAAAGCTTTTCTGGAAGTCTCCTATTGTAAAAAGTCCTTCAGGGACTTCTATAGACAAAATACTTTCAGTAAGCCTTCTATAGGCAGGAAATATTGTGGAGGTCTTCTATATACAGAAGATCTTCTAAAGGTCTTCGGAACAAGAAAATCTTTCACAGGTCTTCTTCTGGAGGTATTTTCTAGTCAAAAGAAACGGCAGACCTTCCAGAGGACTTTTAAGCTAAATCATTTTTGGAGATTTTTAGATCTTCTTGGGGTCTTCTATATACAGAGAACATACACAAAAGGGTCTTTAGGAGATTCAATAGATGGAAGACTACAGGTGCTATTCTACAGAATTTCTAGAGATAATCATGTCTTCTATAGGCAAATTTAACCCTAGTGATCCTATATAGACCGATATAGATATCTCTAGAAGTTTATCTCTCTGTAAGAGTCCTGTGGACCATAAAAAGTTTTTGTCTTCCTTTGAAATATCATCTTCCATAGACAAATGCAATTTTAGAGAATTTCTAAAAAAATCTAAAAATCTCCATGTCTTCTATAGGCCGATTTACTATAGAAAAGCTCTTGATTTGTTTTTGATTTATTTAACGGTGGTATTCTGTCCATAGAAGTTCTTTAAAATGTTTTTCCTTTAAAAACAAATTGATTGCCTATGAGCCCTCTAGAGGGCCTAAAAGATGCCTAGAACTTTTCTGCCTTCAGAAGTCCTATGGAAGATCTTCTACATTTAGAAGTTTCGCTGAACGGTCTATCATACTTTATCTCACATTAATAAAAAAAAATTACCCTTTGTTTAACTTACCATTTTCAAAACTTTCTCCATAGTTTTAGCATCGATTTTCGGTACGACGGTTTTCAAATAATCCATAATCTCTTCGAAATTATCACGGGCCAGCAACTCGGATTCATGGACCGTCAACAATGCAATGGCAAATTTAAATATTACCTCCGAGGATTCCAAAAACATTAAATCAAAGACACGGGCAACAAAACCCAATGGAAATTGTGAACTGAAAACGGTTAAAATCCATGGTGCTGCATACAGGGTAGGTGAGACATCATTTTGATCGAGCCAAACATATAAATCCGGCAGATGATCTTTAACCAAGCGAGACAATTGATACAATTGCAATTGGAACTTTTTCATATCGGGCAAGTATTTGGTGCGCATTTGACGATGGAACATCAGGTGTTTCAAGAGCTGGAAGGCCTCGGCTTCTTCGCACTGTAGAAAACAAAATAAAATTAATTATTGATATATTATTTTATTTCCAAATTTAAATAAATACTCACATGCAACAGTAGGATGCCACATATGAAACCCAAGCCCTGACAATAACCCAGCTCTGGATCCAATATTGAATAGGCCTTGAGCAGATTAAACAATGACAACTGACCCAATCCCAATGGATCTTTGTAGAATTTATGATTGGGGAATGTCCTACCCAAATCAATAAAAATCGCATGTTGATGTTCGGTAAGATTTTTCAGCAGAGCATGATAGGGTGTATTGAAATTGGGAAATTTCTTGGTGTCCACCGGTGCCGTGTACATGGAATGTTGTTCAGCCAAAAATGACCATACCTCACCACGTTTCGAACGTGGTACTCCGGTTTTTATGGCCTGTGCCAATACAATGGGATCTCGTTTGTTGCCAATTTTCATAGAATCCCGTTCAATGAATGCATCCCATCGCTCGATAAGTTGCTTATCACACGGCACAATCTCTTCATAATCCAATTTCATCCGTTTTAATTCATTTTCATTCTGGCGAGCCTGTAACATGGCATTTTCCGTTTCCATGCGATTGAGAAGGATTGTTTGGCGGATTGCCGTTTTCCAGAGTTCTCGTAGCTCCTCACGGGTACGTTTGCCAATTTTGGGTTCTGTAGGGAGAGGAAAAATATATGTTAATACAGTTTAAGGCCACTTCTAATTAATCAGGATATTCAATATATAAGTCATCTGAAAGAGGATAGTTTTTAGGTAGCACATTTGAAGGTATGAAGGGATCTCAAGCGACATCACAGAAGAACTTTTAGTGGAACTTTATAAACAGTAACCATATTTAAGGTAATAAATGCACTGAAAAATATATTAAGTTCGTTCTATAGACCTCTATGGACCAAAGAAATATTCTATATACAAAATATCTTTTATAGGTATTCTATAGACAGAAGACCGACCGGCACATTATACACAGTAACCATATTTGAGATCACAGACGATCTTTTAGGGAACTTCTATAAAAAGAGACTTCTTAGAGACGTGAAAGTCTTAAAACTTGAAAGCCTTCTACATATCCAGAGTACTTTTATAGACAAAACATATTCTAGAAGTTTCTTATATATACGAAAACCTTTAATAGAATCCTGAGACCGAGTATCTCCAAAGAATATTTAAAATGCCTTCTAGAGGTCCTCTAGACACCGAATAAATCTTCTATTGACTAAATACCGACGATGGGATATTCACGGGACAAACAACATATTGAGTTCTTCTATTATCAGTGGATCTTATAGAGGACCTCTATAAACGGACAACCTTGTGGAAAATCATATAAATTCTGTAGGCTGAAGACCATCTGAGAAAAATCTTCTAGAGGTCGGATAGAGCTTTAATTTATAATGGAGATCTTTAAGAGATTTTCATTTGAATGAAGTAACTCTATAGGACCTCTATAAATGGAAGACTTTCTAAAGCCATATGAAGTTCTCTATACACGGAAAACTTTCTGGAGATCTTCAACGGACAGATAATCTATTACAGGTCTACATGGACCGACAAACTTCCAGATGTATTTTATAGACATAAAACCTTCTTCTTCTATGAACGCAAGGAGTTCTAGAATTCTTCCACAGAATATCCTGAATATCTTCTATAGATGAAGAACTTCCACGGGATTTTTAGAAACAGAAGAGCTTCTACACCCTCTTCTATAGCAAAAAGACCTTTTGATGACTTCTATAGACAGAATAATAAGGGACGTTCTATAGATAGGAAATCTTGTGGAGGTTTCATAGACAGAAGATTTTCTATAGATAGGAAATTTTGTGGATGTCTTCCAAAGGCAGATATTCTAAAGGACTTCTAAACGGAAAAAAATTTCCACGAGTTATCGAAAGACCTTCCCTCCACAGGACTTTGTAAAGCGAAAAATAATTTGTGGTAATCTTCTAGACCCCCTATAGGTGTTCTATAGACAAAGAATGCCTTCAAGTGGTCTTCTATAGAATGGATTTTTTTAGAAGGAAGATCTTCTAGAGCTCTTCTAAAGGCAGAAAATCTTCCACAGGACTTCTTAAGACATAATACCTTCAAGAGGACTTCTATAGAATAAAAAAATAGCTTCAATAGGTCATCTATAAACAGACAGAAAATATTCCCCAAAAACTTTTAAAGACAGAAGAGCTTCCAAAGGCTTTAAGGAGTTCTTCTATACCTTATATAGTGTTCTGTAGATAGTAGACCTTTCTGTAGTAGGTCTTCCACAGACAAAATAGCTTCCAAAGACATCTATGAACTGATGACAGTCTAAAGGTCTTCTACGGACAGTAGACATTCAAATGAACTTTCATAGAAAGAAGACCTTTTAGAAGAATATCCTCTATGGGGCCTTAAAGTCAGATAATCTTCCACCTTCTAAGCACAGAATACCAGAGAGGTCTTCAGACCTTCTAGAGGATTCTATAGACAAAATATCTTTCTGTAATAGGTCTTTCACTGACAGACGACCTTCTACAGATATCTATTAACAGTCTGGAGGTCTTGTACGTACAAAATACATTCAAGTGGACTTCAATAATTGGAAGGCCATCTATAGACCAAATACTGATGATTCTACGGGCAAAGTCCTTATGGAGGCATTCTTTGTGGACAGAAAACTTCTTAGAAGTCTTCAATTCTGTCTTCGTCTAAATACCTCTGAATGCTGGAAGACCATCTTCCCTTTATTGGTATCCTTAAAAATTGTCAAACATCCTAAATATAATAGGTTATCCATAGATTCTTACTACCTAATAAATCATGTTGTTCACACACTTACGTGTTATTCTCATGGGTGACAAATATTCCGATTGGCCATCAGTGCCATCCATGCCCTTCGAGGGTGTTACCACACTATTGAGTATGGCCTGGCGCCAAGAGCCTTGATGAGTTTCCTCAACCTTAGGGCTGTTGCCCACCTTCATGAATCTGAAATAGACATAAATTGAATATTAAAAAATATATAAAACCAGAATCCAATTAGTCAACACTCACATATCCATCATTGGTGATTTCAGTTGTTCCGCCTGCGGTTTACTGGGGCTAGTACCACCAATTGTATTTGATCTTGATCTAAAGCCCTCCGGTGGAGAATCATTGCCTCCGGCACCTTCCAATTTCGGCTCGGCGGAACTTTCACGTATTTTATGTTCCTTAACCTGTAAAGTATTCGCCCCGATGTCATCCTTGGAGGCTTTTCTCTTCAACAAATGATCAAAGGAATTGGTTAGGGAACGTTTAGCTTTCATGAAGATCGTACTGCCACCCAAATATTGATTTAAAAATTCCGAACGATTTTCAGCTGTATCATGGACATGACGCTGCTGTCGCGACTCACAGTGAGCGCGCAGTAACATCATTAAAAATTGATTTTGTTCCTGCAATGGTGCTGTCATCTTTTCCGAACCATAAAATTTCGCCCATATAGTATCCTGTTCATCATCGGTTAGGGTTTCAATACGTCTAAATATCATAGCTTGTGTTTTCTTTTCACTTAGACCTTCCACATCGGTGCAGAGCTTGTGATACCACAACATCGGGCAATGATCACAAGAGAATATTTGGGTGGCTTCTTTTTTCTTTTGTTCGGCACATGTGACAAAGGCCTGGGAGATGGCTGCCACAATATCATCACAAACATGATCGGATTGACATTTGAAAACGTAACCAATATAACCGTCATTGTGGGCTTCGCGGCATATGATGCCAAAATGATCGGCATTCTTTTGACCCTGAGCACAGCTGGCCACATCTTTGAAATCTTTGTAGAGCAATACCTGTTTGCGATCGGGTGAGATCAATCGTAGATCGGAACGACCAACCAAAAATACCATGGTGCGATTCTGTTCAACATAGGGTGGTATGCAGCCATATGATGCGGAGCGATCACGTTGCTTGGGTAAGCTAAAGAGGAGGCGGGATGGGGGAGAGAAAAAGAGATAATTATGTATTTGCAAGTTTAAACACAACGTAATTAGAGTGTGTTGCGGAAAATCCGAATTTTCAGTAAAAATAGAGGTTTTTATTAAGATTGCAATAGGAAATTTTACTTCAGCTTAGCTGAATTAGGTTACGAATCAAAAATCTTTAATTCAGCTTGGCTGAATTATGATACCAATATAAAATCTTCAATTCAGCCCATTTGAATTAGGTTTTCTTAAAGAAACCTTCGATTCCGAAAGGCTGAATAAGATTTCCAATAGGAAAACTGCAATTCAGTTAGGCTGAATAAGGTTTCTAATAGAATATTATCAATTCAGCCATGCTGAATAAGGTCTTCAATAGGAATACTTCAATTCCAGGCTGAATAAGGTTTATAATAGGAAAACTTCAATTCAGCCAGGCTGAATATGTTTTACAATAGGAAAACTTCAATTCAACCAGGCTGAATAAGTTTTGCAATAGGAAAACTTCAATTCAGCCAGGGTGAAAAAGTTTTACAATAGTAAAACTTCAATTCTACCAGGCTAAATGAGGTTTCCTATAGGAAAGCTTCAATTCAGCCAAGCTGATTAAGATTTCCTATAGGCAAACTTTAATTCAGCCAAGCTGAATAAGGTTTCCAATAGGAAAACTTCAATTCAGCCCGGCTGAATAAGGTTTCAAATTAAAAAACTTCAATTCAGCCAAGCTGATTAAGGTTTCCTATAGGAAAACTTTAATTCAGCCAGGCTGTATAAGGTATCCAATAGGAAAACTCTAATTCAGCCAGGCTGAATATGGTTTCCAATAGGAAAAGTTCAATTCAGCCAGGTTGAATAAGGTTTCCGATAAGAAAACTTCAATTCAGCTAGGCTGAATAAGGTTTACAATAGGAAAACTTCAATTCAGCTAGGCTGAATAAGGTTTCCAATAGGAAAACTTATAATAAGGTTTCCAATTGAAAAAATTTCAATTCAGCCAGGCTGAATAAGGTTTCCAATAGGAACACTTCAATTCAGCCAGGCTAAATAAGGCTTCCAATAGGAAAACTTCAATTCAGCCAGGCTGAATAAGGTTTTTAATACAAAATAAGGGTAAATAAGGGTTTCAGTTCGAAAACTTCAATTCAGCCGGGCTGAATATGGTTTACAATAGAAAAACTGCAATTAGGTCAGGCTGAATTAGGTTTCTAATACGAACTCTCATGTTCTGCCAGGCTGAATAAGAGTTTCAGTACGAAAACTTCAATTCATCTCAGCTGAATTAGGTTTCCCATAAGAAATCTGCAATTCAACACGGCTGAATAAATTTTTATATTAAAAATCTGTCAATCAGCCAGGCTGAATACATTATCCTATAGGAAGTTTCTAACCCTGCCAATCAGCACAGCTAAATAAGGTTTCCAATAGGAAATCTTCAAATCAGCTTGGCTGAATAAGGTTTCCAATAGGAAATCTTCAATTCAGCTCAGCTGAATAAGGTTTCCAATAGGAAATCTTCAATTCAGCTTAGCTGAATAAGGTTTCCAATAGGAAATGTTCAATTCAGCTCAGCTGAATAGGGTTTTCAATAGAAAATTTCATTTTAACTCTTAAGTAAATTAGGTTCTACTGTAAACTATTCACTCTAATAAAAAATAGTCCAAACTAAAAAAGTTCTCAGGGTAGTAGGCATGCAGGACAATATAAAAAGAAACTAAAAATTAACACAAGACCATCATCTGGATCCAAATCATAAAGACAAAACGAAACGGTGCAATAAAAAAATCTGGGAACAGTGTGGGAGAGGGTGTGGGTAACAATCGGGATACAACAAACTTCACTATTGGTACAGGTCACTCTTTACTCACTTATCCGCTCCATGATTGGCATGTAAATGTTGCCGTTGTTGCGGCGCCGAATTGTTTTCCTGCGACTCTTGGTCCGGTTGATTCTGTGACTGGGCAGCCATGGATATGGCCACCTGTTCGGCAGATTCCTGATCATGCCTTGGTGGCGATGGGTGTTTTTGATTGATTATAACATTATTGGGTAAGGGCTCATTTTCATCGATATGATTTTGAGATTCACTGAAATCGAATTTGTCCCAAGGAAAATGGGAATAATTGAAATTAATTTTTTATCGGAAATTGTTGACGGAGGGGACATTTGGGATTTTTTTATAAGTTTTTAGATATATTTTGCCTTGAGATCGCTTCTATGATCTCCTTGTTTCCAGTTCTCTTAATCCTTCTTTCGTACACCTTAAATACCATCGGTCCCGCTGACTTTACAATTACATTGGACATGATATTTTACATTTAACATAGAACAAAAAACCCTCCATAGAATTCCCCTTTGAAGAGAAATTTCTTTCCCCCCATACTTACTCTTTTTTCAATGGTATATCCAGTTGACTAATGCCACGCATTAAACGATTTCCCACGGGCAAATTATTCTCCTTATTATACTCCTCCATTTTCTTATTATCACTCGAGTCACTGAGATCAGCATCTGTAGAATCAGCAGTGTTGGCCTCCGTATCACCGCCACGAATTGGAGTAGCTGCCTTAACGAAAACATTCACCTTTTCCAATTGTTCTCCCTCGTCTTTCTCTTCGTCCTCGGATTTTTTATTTTCGGCAGCTGCCTTTTGTTGCTTTTCCAGACGCTTAGCATCTTCACGTTCAGCCTCCTCTTCGTCTTCTTCTTTCACATCATGATCTTTAAGAGAACAATTTTTCAAATCTAATGTTCCGGCGCCTACAAACGCACCCTCGCTTGTCATGGACATTTTACGATTCGAAGACAATTGCATTAGACGCTGCCGCTGAGCATCGTAAGCCTTGAATTTGGGCAAGGCGTCATCGATGAACGAATAGGGTACCCGCTTGTGTGATACACGTATCTTACCCACATACATAACCTCAAAGAAGTGGGTGTGATTTGGTGAGATGTCGGCGAGTAGCGAGAGATTACTTTGTGCTGAGGTAGATGTTGGAATGTTTACCTGAAAGGAAAGAGAGAGCATTAGAATGAGGAAGACATAATTTTATGTAAAAATTCCTATTGAAAACAAAATTCAGCTGTGCTGAATTGAAGATTTCTTACAGAAAATTGAAAAATTGGACAAAATTGATCCTATTGACCAGGGCTGAATTGAAGATTTCCTATAGGAAATGTAATTCAGCTGGGCTAAATTGAAGAATTACTAAAGAAAAACGAAATTCAGTTGGGCTACATTGTATTTTTCTATAGGCAACACTGAAGATTTTAATGGAAACCAAATTCAGCCAAGCTGAATTGAGATTTCAAATTGGAACCCTAATTCAACCAGGTTGAATTGAAAATTTCCTATTGGAAACATAATTCGGCCAGTATTAACTGAAAATTTCTTATTGGAAACTTTATTCAGCCCGGTTGAATTGAAGATTTCCTATTAGAAACCTAATTCATCCAGGCTGAATTGAAGATTTTCTAAAGGAAACCTAATTCAGCCCAGCATAATTGAATATTTCCTACAGGAAACCTAATTCAGCCAGGCTGAATTGATGATTTCTTATAGGAAACCTAATTCAGCCAGGCTGAATTGAAGTTTTCCTATTGGAAACCTTATTCAGCCTGGCTGAATTGAAGTTTTCCTATTGGAAACCTTATTCAGCCTGGCTGAATTGAAGTTTTCCTATTGGAAACCTTATTCAGCCTGGCTGAATTGAAGTTTTCCTATTAGAAACCTTTTTCAGCCTTGCTGAATTGAAGTTTTCCTATTGGAAACCTTATTCAGCCTGGCTGAATTGAAGTTTTCCTATTGGAAACCTTATTCAGCCTGGCTGAATTGAAGTTTTCCTATTGGAAACCTTATTCAGCATGGCTGAATTGATGTTTTCCTATTGGAAACCTTATTCAGCATGGTTGAATTAAAGTTTTCCTATTGGAAACCTTATTCAGCCTGGCTGAATTGAAGTTTTCCTATTGGAAACCTTATTCAGCCTGGCTGAATTAAAGTTTTCCTATTGAAAACCTAAGTAAGCCAAACTGAGTTCAAGATTTCCTATTAATAATCAAATTCAGCCAAGCTGAATTGAAGTTCTTTTATTGGAAAACCGATTCAATAATCGGAAACCTAATTCATTCTGAAAGAAATAATAAATTGATCCCTTCCATTTTACTCACCGTTCCTGCGGAATTACTGAGACCATGTGTATAGGATTTTGATGATTTCATTTTTGACGAGGCGGCGGCCAACGTGGGACTAGCTTCATGTTGAGCCTGACGCATAGCTTCGGACATTTTAAGATTGGTGGCCGGTGTTGTGTGTATGCCATTGCCTGCCAGCAGTTTTTGCATTGTCAATTCACCACCAGCTGCGCTATTGGCCACCAATGTTTGTGGTATACTGCCAACGGAACCGCCTAGGGTATGGGCAGGATCACGCATTTGATGCATTAACTCGGCCATCTGGAAATAGAAAGGTGATTTTGAGAATTTGATTTTTAAAGGGCGATTATTCGGATTTTAGTATGCAACAAAAATTAATAAAACAAACGAACACATCTTGTTATCAGAGGTTATAATCAGGTTATTTAGAACCAGGATACATTAATTCAGTAACATATTCGAGTTTCAATATCATGTAGAAAAGTGAAGAGCTAATTTGTTAAAGAAATTTTGAATGGTTGCTTACAATGAATTCTTTTTTCAAGAAAGAAATAAAATCGGCTTAATAAAATTTTTCAAAATTCAAATAAGAGGTCAATTTTTTTTAAAGAATGGACATATAAAAAATTATCATTTTGGAAAATTTTTCAACGAAATGTAATTCTATTGGTTTGAATTAAAAATGTTCTATTGGATTTTGAAAAATTTTAAAGTTCTCTTTTTAACATTAAAATTCCTAATAGAAGTGGTGGGGTTTTAGTAGGTTAAATATGGGCAACGTTAAAAAGCGGAACAAACAATAAAAATAGTTAAGACATTTAATGATAGATGGCGATGTTCACTGAGCTTCGTCGTAGTGCAGACACAAACCGGCAGTTGTGAACTGGAGTTATCACTCTGTGATCGCAAGTAAAGACACAATCCATGAATGCTATGTTGATAACATTACTAATGAAGTACAGATGGCCATAACAATAATTACAGTAGTGTAGGCACACACCCAATATGATGAATTGCAAGATACCACCCTGTTGCTATCAATCACAGGGTGATAACTTGCCAAATTAATCTGATTTATTACCTATCCCCATATTCACCCTATTAAAATCTCTGAATATTACATTTTCTATTATTAATGTACCCAAAAATGTAATCCGACAACATTTACCCACCACTGTATATATGTATGTAAAAATTCATATACAAACATACCGCATATCGAATGTAAATATTTACACACATTCCGACCTCTTCTGCTCGAATGCAGAATATTAATATTTTTGCAAAATCAAAGAGGAAGAACAAAAAAAAAATCCAATGGCATTTACACAAAAGGATATCCCACAGTTACATACATACTCGTTACCGGACAGCCGAGCCGAGCAGTCATAAGTACATACGTATGTATGTATTAATGGCAGCGAATGTAATATACAATGTGAATTATTTCCGCCTCATTAACCAATGGGTGGTAAATAGTTGAGCTGCGGGAATTTTCATAGGAATGTAATTTTGTTAGTTTGCCCTCAACTGACAGCTACATCGTTTGCACACACATTCTCGGGTATATATCAAATATATATGTGTGTGTGTGTGTCTGTATGCATGGCTTATATGTAAACAAGTGTAATTTGCCTGTAAAGATAAATGTTTCCTAAAATGTTTGGCGGAAATCTTTGGGTTTCTAATTGATGCTGCTGCGATGGACAAATTGAGGCCGTTGCTATGACAACCAGACATAATTAATGACCAATTAATAGCAGTTGGGTGAACTATATATATATATATATATATGTGTGTAATTTATAAGATATAGACACCTGTCAACTTTTACCGGCTAGAAATTGTCCTGAAGAGAAGAAAAATTAAGATAAAGTTAGAGAGTCAAACAAAAATAGCTGATCTTCGCCCTAAAAAGGAACAAAAACTAAAAAATTCAGCTTGAGCCCGGCTGGGATTTGAACCCTGGTTCTCATGGCATCCGCTGATTGTTGTCCGGCGCCTTAGCGATCAAAGTCAACTTCTTATCTTCCTAAGGTTGCACAATATGCAGTTGCATACCATTGAAGAAAAATATTTTAGTCTGCATGGAAAAAAAGTCCGGCACTACAAGAAAAATCTGCTCTGAAAAGGAATGTTTTGGTGTGATGCCAAATGTCCGAACCTTGACACGGTTGAATTTAATTCGTAGATGCAATTTCGCAACAATAGTCGACATAAATAGAACTTATCAAGTAAAGACATTTGTAAGCCAATATGCCTGATGAGCCGCTTAACCAACGGCGAAACGCGTTGCATAATGGTGGGAATGTAGTATCTCCCTGGCTTTCCTTTTCATTGCAACTCTGATCTTGTAGCTCATCTCGAAAAAGAAATTAATAAAAAAATACTCTTATTTTAAATATATCCCTTGAGTCGTTCTGGAAAGAAATCATACAAAGGAATTATTCCTCAAAAGGAGCGGATGGAACTAGGTCCGGTTCTTGTCGTATTTTAGCTCTCGTTCGCCTACTCCCTTTTGATCCAATCGTTTAAGTAGATCTTCCCGTTCATTGACCGACTTAACTGACGTGTAACATTAAACGATTGAACTAAGAGGAACTGAATGAATGATATAGTTACCTTTGCAGAGTGAAGTGAAAAAATAGAATCTCTTCACGGACGAGATTGATCAACTTTAATGATTTCTTTAATTATAATACCTCTTTTGAAAGAACCTGCAATGAATTGCTAGATGAAGGGAATAATTTCTAAAAGTAAGTAAGAGCAAATAGAAGACCTACTTTTGAAGAACATTGCTGAAATTAAAGGGGGTAAAAATTCGATCAATTTGAAAAAGATAATCTAACCAAAAGACTATTTCATTACGAAGTATAGACCTTAAGTTAGGCTCAAAATAGGAAAGACGTACGGTCAGTGAAACCTGTTGTGGACTCTAGAAAAATAAGAAATCATATTTTTATTTGGTTTCCCTAAACATCTAGGAATTCTGAGTTCTTTGTAAAGTCCTTCAGTCTTTTCCCTTCACACTCCCTCAGGTCGGTTATTTCGTGAATAGTGTCAATTCCCAAGAATTGGATTCCAATGCTGTAAAGAGCTGGGCAGTGGCATTGGAAATGTTCAATGTTTCGCTGTCTTCCACTCACGCTCTACACCAACTGCTTCCCTCGCACCTAATCCTGTGAAAAATGCCTGTACGCTGTTATGTCCTGTGAGAATACCTCTCAGGCGGCTCATTTCCTTTTTGTTAAGCATTAAAATTTTTTGTCATGTGACATTTGTGTCTCCACATAAAATGTTTGTGTTCTCTCCAGTCCCACCAATATTCCAAAGGATTTTATATAGAAAGTATGGAGATTCCTACGGAGAAACTGTATTTTGATCAATATTTCTATGATAGTGAGGTTCAGATACCATTCTGTGCTCTGTGTAACGTTTAATTAAGAAAAGAGTAGAGTTTTTGATACCCCTTTACAGGAATACCTCATAGCAACATATATTAATATAGGTTTTATGTTTTGTAGATATCACAAATTAGATTTCGTAGCCGACAAAGGATTTCGTAGCCTTTTTTAATAAATTTTTTTGCAGAAAATTTTAAAAATTGTGATTTTCCTAGAAAAATGTTTTAGTAGTAGGGTAAATATGAAACTATGGGGAAAAAATATTTAAAATAGTTCTGATATTTGCCACTACATGGCGTGGTTCGCGTTTTGCAGTGGTATAGGCACGAACCAACAGTGATAAAATGGAGTTCCCACTCTATGATCATTAGTAAAGTCACAAACCATAAATGTGATGCTGATAACATTATTATCGAAGTGTAGATGGCGTTAGTCAAAGTACAGTAGTGTAGACACACACCAAAGGTTGTGTATTGTAATTTATTCAATTTTTGAGGCAGCCTCATATTCAACCTACGCTTGTTTCTTTTTAGGTTATTAAAATATATGACATCTTTAGGATTGAAATTATCATTTCTAGACAAAATTACTACAGTCTCAATGTATGTTTTCTATAAGAAAGGATAATATTTACATAAAAAATGTTCCTATTTTATCGATTTGATACTAGCTGAGGAGTGACTTTGCTATACAAAACCGTAACCTGAAGAAACTTTGTTTTAAAGGAATGGTTTAAACCAATTTCTGTGGAAATCTAATTTAAATCAGTGAGCGGAGCATTATAGTTGGATGGGGCCGACCATACGATACCCTACACAACTACCACGGAACTCTAACTTTCTACGGATGTTTATTCCGAGCCTGGACAATATTTCATGATAGTTGCAACCTCCTGCCCGATTAGAGGTCAACAACACCTCTTCCTTACACGGACATATTTTCCGAATATTCCAATATTCGGTACAGCTCTTCTAATTAATTGTCCAGATTCCCTTCACCGTGGGTTGTGTTGTGATGTTCGGTATATTTTGTCGAACTATAGTTCGACTCGAAAAAACACAAAAACTTAAGATTTCGGTTCGCTTCATCCTAAAATTATGATCTGATAATCACTGCAAATTATAGTCGTTGTCCTAGACCATAACTTGAACCTCATGAAAAATTTCAAAGCGATCAGAGCTATATTTCAGCCCTCTAGTGTGGTAATGGGTTACTAAATAATATCTCAGTACGTAAGTACCTGTAAATATTTAAGTGTAACTCCCACATCCGAGTACATACGACAATATAAATGGTATCAATTTGTGGCTGCACAAAGCTATAATACCCTGACAACTTGGTTGTGTAGGGCAAAAAGACTCTTCTTTAATGTACAAAGCTTTTTCATTGTTCTGAAGATTCCTAACATAAATAAATTCAACTTCATAAGAACCCTATGTATAATAATGTTGTTTTGAATAATTCATACTTATGGAAGTATTATCCCACATAGGACCCATTAGTTATGGAAGTGATACCCTGAAGTTCGTTTTTCGCAGTAAGACTTCTCAGGGAGAGACGTGCTCTGATGACAGCCTTATTTTATTAATCAAATTATGATCCCTAAAAAGTATCGTATCGTTATATTATCCAGATGTATCCAGTTGATTAAATAAATTATACATTTATTTCAAATTATGCCATTGCTCTTCTCCATCCCCACATTGCGAACAAAGTAAGTTGATTCCAATGTTGATCCGGCCAACCGCCTACAACTAAAGGTCATTATTATTTTTTGCGAAGAAAAAATATCCTTTTGATGATATCCACTGGGATACGCCTTTGCATCATTTACATTTGAATGGAGGACCATATGTTGTAGCGTCGGGCACAAAAAAAAATATCTTATAATGAATT